ATAAAATGATTTGAAAATAATTTCAGTCAAACATCGTAACGCGCAATGAAAACTTTATTTGTGGACGGAGGGAGTATTTAGGAAATAAAAAACTTTAATTCCTACATTGAGAAATAACTTATGTTTTAGTGCTATTTGGTACAAATATTTTCTAAATATTTATCTCATCCGTCCCAAATAATCGCTCACTTCGAACAGAGTGTAAAATGTCATATCGTATAGAATTATTTTACTTACAAATTAAGATATAAATAAAAAGTACAAATTACATACGTATTTCAAAACTACTTAAAAAAATTACATATCTTTTCAGTATTTTTTTACAAGCCTTTCTTCTTTTACTAAATAATCAATGGAAATACATAAATAAACCAATAAAATAATCAAGTTAAACATGAAACTTCCTACATAATCAAAGCAGCTTTTTTTGGGAAAGAGTTTGCCTAAAAAAGGTGGAATGCCCCACCCCGGGCATCCCCACACTCCGGCCTGACAGGATTGCGAGGGGTAAATCATGTCAAAATCTTAACCTGATCCGTAGAGACGCCGTCCTGTACTCAGGACGTACAATAAGGAACTGTTTGGGAAAAGCGTTAGCGATTAGCGTTAGCGTTTTGAAAAGGCTATCTATGGACAGCGTTTAACGTTAGCGTTTTCAAAGTGATCTGCACCGTTAAAATTTTATCCAAAACGCTAACGCTAATCTCTAACGCTATTCCCAAACAAGCCCTAAGCTTTTAAAGATAATAAAAATCTCGCACTGTCGCGATCGGGATTCGACTTTAGAATTAAACAAGGACCATGCTAGGGTGCCACCACATGGGTGCTACCATGGGTGCACCCATGTGGTGGCATTCTAGCATTTTCCATTAAACAAAGGGTTTTGCCTAGGATTTAGGGGTTGATGGGAGAGAGAGAGGAGAGAGAGAGAAGAGACAATAGAGTCAGTGAGTCACATCTGGATACACGTGCACAGCAATGGAACAGTGTTCCTTTTCGAGGCAAACCCAATGTGTAACGTTTTGCGTTTTATTGCTCAATCCCACTCCTTTTTTTCCGTTCAAATTGACCACATTTTAGCCCACTTTTTATTTTTTAAAAAGGATTTTATATTTTTCGTTATCCCTGATAATTTAATTATTATTTTTTTTTGTACGTAGTAGCATATTCCATAGAGGCATTAGACACTACTCTCGTCACAAAAAAATTATAATATTGCGCCAAATGAAACAAATTTTTGAAGATTTTTAATTCATTTTATTTTTAGTATAGAAATAAAAAAAATAAAACTGACATATTAAAAAAATTATGTCTAAAGTTTTACAAAACATGAGGTGACTAAAATATTTTATTTTATCAAACACTCAATGAAATTGTAAAATTAAACAAAAACTTCTCGTGATTTTTGAATTGTGAAATGTGACAATCTTTTTGTGATGGAGAGGGTATAATTTTTATTAAGAAATTCTAACGCGAATAAATTCCAAAATGAATCGAAATGTTTTGTTTCGACTATAATTTAATTATATTTAATTTAAATTATAATTAAATATAATACTTGTACACTTTTTTAGTTCTCTTTAATTAATTGATCATTAAAATTTATACTCCGTACGGAATATATATTTACTTTTAATGTATGAAAAAAGGTATAATAATCCCTTAAAAGAGAAGAAAGTCACAAGGAGGGGGAAGATGGATGTATAAATTTCAAAATAAAAAACTAATATCGATGTCAATATACGGTTCAAGAAATTAAGATGAAATTGAAAAGAAAAGAACTTTTTTTCCTTTTTTCCTACCAAATTGAAGGAATCTAGTTTTTTTTTTCTAATTTTAGCTTATTTTGGTTTAGGGCCGGGTTGAGAGTGGACCAAGGTGCCCTACCGCTCAGACCCATTTTTTGGGGCCCAACATTTTTAAATTTTTAAACATGTATTGTATTTTTTATATTAAAAATGAAAAACTTAAATTTGTAAGATAACTACTAAGATATTTAATTATAATATTATAATTTTGTTATGAGTATTATAATAATATTAATTATTGTTTTAATGTAAATAGTTTATATTTCCTCCGTCCCTTAAGGCTTATCAAAAATGAAAAAATCACACCCTCAAGATGGTAATTTTAATATTATTTTCTAACTATGACTCATCTATCTTGCACATTATATCCTACATTATTATGAAATAAGGGAAAAAATTAGAAAATAATATCAAAATTATTCATTCTTAGGGTGTCTTTTTTAGTTTCGTCTTTGAAAAATTTTGTGAGATGGAGGGAGTATATTTTAATTTGTTAGAGCAACGGCCTATTTTTTCATCTTGTCCAGGGTCACAGAATCTTCAGGACCGGCCTTGTTTTTGCTTATCTTTTTTTCTTCATTTTTATTTTCCTTTTCTTCTTAAATCAAACTTGAGAATTCGTATTTCATATCAAATTTATTTTCATTTCTCTCTCAAATTCTTTAAAACACAGTTTTAGTATATAGCTAGGAAAATAAGAATGTGAAACCAAAAACCTTAATTATATACGGATTGGGATTATAACGGCCGACAGCCCCCTCAACTATAATTACTTCATTTATCGTTACATTTCATTTGAACCCCCGACAACTTTTTTCGTGTGTGTGGGTCGTGTGACGTTTACTTAGTTTATTAGCTAAATTTAAATCAAATGTATATAGTTTGAATTTAAATGAATTGAACAAAATTAAAAAAAATGGTACTTACTACGGTTTTTTTAAATTGAGTATTATTAACTTAATTAAAATATATTATTTGTTCATAATTTTTTATTCTATTAAACACATAAAATCAATATCCGGCAGACATTTGAATCTGTGACCCCTCGTTTAATTTGCAATTGGTTTGATAACTAGTTTGAACTTTGAAGATAGCTAATGTTCTATTTCATGGAAAACTCAAACTCAAACTAGTGATTGAAGAAGATTCAAAAAATATTTGTTTGTGATGGTCTATCGGAACCGATTCATATGTAGAAACGAGTCCAAAAATATTATGCCTAAGCCACTGAGGCCCATAAGGCCAGTCAAGATGAGGGGCCCGCATGATATGGGACGGTCTAACTCAATCTAAAGCTCAAGTCTAGACGCAGTTGAATAAGCACTAAGGTAGATGCTAGGGTTAGAAGAGAGAGACACTCCCACAATTAATGTCCACAATCCACTTGTCTATTTTAAGAAAATTGAACGTGATTGTCTGTTTGACTCGTTGAATATTCCTTCATCCTTTAGGAAGAGCTCAATTTTTTTGAATGGTATTGACTCCATTATATGGTAGTATCTGTTCATACTATTTTCAACATAATGGCACACAAAGAATCAATGCTCCCGACTCCGCTGGAGCTCGAACACGAGTGAACTTTCCCATGAATCTTAGAGAGCGTGCTTGTTACCACTCAAATCAGGGGAGAAGTTCAGAAGAGCTCAAATTTTGAATACAGAAAGAATTTCATATAGTTTCATCTCTTTGACGTTTCGTGACGACCAAAATCTCAGCAATATTTCTCATATATTTACATTCCATTACTGCGGTCCGGTGAATTGAAACCTTTCAATATACTCTTATATATAGCAATTAGCAAAATGTTGAAGTTTGTTTTTAATGTTGAAAAAGAACACAAATAATTTATGTGAATTGAATAAATAGTGTGTAGAATGGAACTAAGACTCTTTGAACGAAAGCAAAGCCTTAGCTTCATCATCATCATCATCCTTATTCCAGTCAACAACATGAATTCAGACACCTTCACTTCATTCCCACATCTGCACTGTTCGCTTTTTATGAAACATCCCATGTATGTCACGTCTATCCCACTACTATAGTATACTATACTTATCTTCTCTCTCTCCCTCTCTCTCTCTCTCTCTCACTATCTGCAAATGAAAGTGTTTGGCACTATTCTTTATTGCTGAGTATTTGTAAAATAGAATTGATGTGTATATACGTACATGAATTTGCATTTATGAAGAGTAAAATTTGTCCTAGTCATTCACCTAAAACTCAAGACAAAAAAGGACTCATGTCTACATAAGTCTCACAAACCGATGTAGTCTCAATTGAAGAATCGAATGACACACCTCTCAAAAACTACATCAATCTTCATCTTTTCTAATTTGTTATTCCATACTAATTAGTCTCAGTCGATCTTTTCGGTCTCGATCTTTTATATTCCCCCCCCCCCCCAAAAAAAATCGAAGGGAATACAACAAGGGTATATAGGTGATGTGATGGGACTTTAGTTACTTTGTACTCCATTATTAATAGTAGGGCGTGGGTCATGTCCTAATGTCCATTTTAGGGTTGCAAATTGGAATGATTGGGCACACCAAATGCATGCTTCCCATTTCTGGAATATAAATATCCATCATTTTGGGTTGGGAGTTTTGATTTGGAGTGATTAAGGTATCCCTTATTCCATGTTTGGTAGGGAGGTGGCGGATATATATGCATGCAATCTAGTCCATGACGTTATGGATGGATGGATGGATGTACACAAATTAATTTTTGGATAGGGTGGTAGGGTCTATATATGTGAAAGGGACGTCAATTGGCCCATTCTATATGGAGTGCCTACCAAGATTTAGTTGCTTTTTTATTCACCAACAAGACCCTCATTCTCATCATGGTATATCTCATAGATTGTATGTCGGGAAATTGTGGAGTCACATCAACAAAATGACACTGGTTCGTGACAACAGTGGCTTTGGAGCACCTACGGTATTTCGTTCATAAATCGGATATTCAGGGGGGCTGGGGTGGGATGAGGTGAAATTGCTCTGAGCAAGGTATTAGAGGAATAGGTATCATAATTTTACGAACAGGACACTGTAGATGCTCCAAAACCACTGGTGTCACGATGTTACACCACTAGAAGTGGCGTAACATTAGAGGCTCTGGTGTATATATGGATGGATGTCTACCAATGCAAAATGCTCAATAATACAGTCCTCATTGAATTTCCTCCCTGAGGGATAACTAGTAATGCAATATGGGATCTCACAGCATATGCCAAAGCAACAATCCTAGCCTATACTAATTAATTTCTCCCTGTAACCAATAATTCTAACATGAGTTTTTTTTAAAATCAATAGATTTCTGCAATTTATAGTGATCAAATTGCAGGCAAGTAAATTGGGATTATATACAGGGAATCTAAACCTGTCTAGCTCAAATAGTCGGTCACGTCTTTGATCAACAATGCTCAACCCGCATTCGTCTCATTTCCGCCCTGAAGGTTTTGCTTGAATTTAACGTCTGGAGTGCGAGGGCCTTGATATCCTCTCGCGAGCAATTCCGTGAGATGTGTAGTAGTTCCCGAAATGCCCCTCCGTTTATCAAATCCTTTGCATTCACCTCTGTAAGTTTTATCAACTCCAAACTTAAAAGACATAATAATTTTTATTATTATACGGAGTAGCAGCCGAAAGCTTCAGTTCAAAGTAAGGACAGAAATATGTGTCTTTCGATCACATGCTTCCAAAACAAGGATGTCACCTTTTCATCTTTCTTGCTCACAAAGTTGTCATTTTGCGTTTGAAGACAACATTTAGCGATTAATCCATTACAAAAGTCATAATTTTTTTTCACTCGGTAAGCTCATTGAAGAAAATAAAATCACATGGTTGGGATATATTTAGAAATGAGAGAAATGATACCAACCATGAAACTTTCCTCAAGAGAAATCAAAAAAGAAATTTCGGGATAACCTTAAAAGGAAAATGAGAAGAAAAATGTGGGGCTAAGGTAGTATGTTTTTCTAATTTTTTAAAACCTTAACACTAATAACCAAATTAAGTGGCACATTGCTCCTTGATTAATATGTAAAACTCTTGAATTAATGGATAAAAGTTTTTGTAGACCAAAGTTACACCGCCCTCATATTTTGCACTCCACGGACGGGAGGGAGATTTGTCTGTGTGATGGGAGATACAAAACAAGATTTCGCCGTTCTCAGACAGATCTCGTTGGTGATGTGCAAAAATGAGTGGTGTAAAATTGGTGTTAACAATGTGGTGGTACATCTAGCATAGCTCTTAACTAATCTGTTTTAGTAACATTTCCGTAAAATACTTGAAACATTACAAAGTAATATCCTTCTTAGAGCAAGAGGGTATATGAATAGTACCATTTGACTATTCTTCATTTGCCCGGTCCTTTGAAAATCACGTTGTTTCGATGTGATATAAGTACGGAGTAACAACAAGACATTCAAACACTACTCATGGGATTATGGTGTTGTGGATGATTTTGATGCAAATGAAGATAAGAATATAACAAAATTTAAAGAGCATACCGTGTTTTGCTAAGTGGCAGAGTGCTAACTCTATATGACGCCTAACCGGTGATGCTTCATTGTTTGCGTTCTGTATTATCCACGGCAATGCTCCATCATCAATAAGAAGAGACCTACAGGTCTTAGTCCCTGTGACAATGCATCTATATGGTCATCCATCAACTATCAATGCCTCTAAACAACCAATCAGTAGTCATATGTGTTAGCCTGGGTTTGCTAAATCTCATGTTTTGATGTTAACAAACAATATAAGAGCTTAACGTTTGTTTAAGTGTTTCAGGAAAACAAGAATCCATTAAGATTTGGTACTCAAGAATGAAGTCGAAACACTAAACTAGCGTAGAATATAGGTAGAAACCAATGTAAGGATATGACTTTATATACCTATATTCACAAGCTCAAAAGCACTCACAAAATATGTTTAAAACCATCACATAAACATTTTCAAATATCTAAAAGGTTTTAAACTCAAACACGAAGGATTACGGGAATTTTGGAAAAATCAGGACAGTGGCACGGTACCCCCAGACGGTAGGGTATACCGCCTACACGGTACCCCTATACCGTGAGACGGTACCCAGGTACCGTACGGTAGGCCGGAACGGATGGCCACACCCGTCCTAACCAGGTGCCGCCAGAATCGAATGGAGATTTTGTGCTACACGGTACCGAGGTACCGCCACTCACGGTAACCCCTACCGTACGCACGGTACCATGCTACCGTGTGGACGGAACCTGCCGACCGGATCCGTTGGAGTACTGTTCCTGATTTGCGATTTTGAATTAAATCAACCCTAATCACCTCCCAACGGCTAATTAACATCTTCCACTATAAATACAAGCCTAATCCTTCATATTTCTTGAAGAAACAAAGCTCTAAACATCCTCTCTTTTTATTCTAAGTGTCTTCATCCTTTTATTAATTATTTTCAATATTTTGGCTATTTCAAGAGCCTTAAATTCCTGAATTTTATACACACACTTTGAGCTTGTGTTTCTAGTTATATACTCTCATATTCATAAGTTTATATTGTATTTTTGAGAGAGTATAATTTCCTTCTATACCGGCTAAGTTTTGTTCTTCATTTTTATATTC